CAGCAATAAGGAATGGAGTACTGATACACACAACAATGGATGAATCTCAAAATTATCATGCCAAGTGAAAACCAGACTATGCAATATATATAATAAGTACCTTCAAAGTGGATCTGAATGTTAGTTTTATCTTATTTTATAGTTGTATAAATTTTCAAATAATATTTTTAAGCAGCATGATATTAAAAAAAGATGTAATTAATCTAATATTATTGAAGCTTAATTCTCCGAGTAAAATCTATATTGTAAACTGTTATTGCTAAAAAAAAAAATTTCTATGTACCTTAAAAGCTATAATCAGAAATATTTCAGAAGAAGATACTTTATTATGAATATTATGAAAACATTCTAGATACATTTCTACTACTTAGGTAAATATCATGTATGATTTTCCACTTCTGACTGTCAGGCACAACAGATCTTGTAGAATCTTTAAAGGAGAAACTTCTGTTTTCCCACTCTGATACTTAGATGTTCTGCAATTCTGCTGGTTCAAACAGAGAAGAGTGAAGCAGTCAAATAGTGTTTCACATAAAAATTAGCTAATGAACTTCCATAAAATGTATATTGAAGTTAAGAAAGAAAAATATATAGCAGGAGTTGAATACTCCCTGCTTCACATTTCCTTTTGTCAGCCATGATGGCGAATAGGGCAATGTCTATCCTTTCACATAGGGTCATTGGCTGATGTGAATAACAAAGGAGTGATTTGTCAGTTGTCCCTTCTCCCAAGAGAGTAAGTAAACATTGAAGAGAATCTTTTCATTTTACAACTATCTTATTTTTCATTCCAAGATATGGAAAATTGCAATATAATTAGGATGGATGTGCAATAATGTACAAAATAGTTATAACAAACACTTTCTATAAAAACATAGCTTAAGGAAATTTCCCATAAATTGTTGACAATTTTCTACATTCAAATTTGAATATTTCTCTACATGATATCATTATGATTAATTAAAAAATGAAACATATAAGCACAAAAATGGATTATCAACTCAGGTTATCAGGTAGTCTTCATCAATAAAACTCAAGTCAAGGTCAAAATACATAAATATATGGTCACATTGAATTTTATGTCTACTAAGATTAAAGAAGCACAGAAATAGGTATTGCAAACTGGCCAATTGACTAGAGACATTTTCTGAGGAAACATGTCAGTGAGTAAATCAGATAAATAAAATATTAATTTTTAAAAGGTTTAAACCAGTATTTCTTTGAAGAATAAAAAAGGCTTTCACTTAAAATTTTTATTAGATAAACTGAATTGGACAATGTAATTTTACTCAGGAAAATTACTGCAGAATAAGCATCTACAGCCAATGAAAAGTAACAGGAATAAATTATAGGAAATCTTATTAATCCAATAAAGACCAATAACTAATAGATATCACTACAGTTAGAATTAAGTGTATTTTCCTACTTCCACTTCAACTTTGTCAAAGTAATTCCTCCTATTGAAAGTATTAAATGTATCTTGTAACTTTCTTTTAAAAATGTAAAATACAGAGACTGTATTACTATATTTGTACTCAAAATATAATAAAAATTTATTGAATTATATGAGGTACAATCATTTGTTAAATATGTAGCTACATTTTTAAAAAGAATTTATTGATATAATATTCCATTGAGTCACTGACAGTATGTAATTCTTACATAATGATGATCCAGTTATAAAACGTTAGCTCCTTCCTTTTCTTTCTCTCTTGCTGTCATCAGGTGCAGACAGCATGTTACTGTTTTTTTTAGTAGGACGTGAGTGTATGCAAAGTGCAACAGCAGTAAAGAAGATAGTGAGTCCTTTGCAAAGAAAACCTGAATTCGAAAAAAAATGCACCTATCAGACATGTCATTTTAATTATAGCAAAAATGTTTGTGAAAAGACTTCCATACACCAAAAAAGAAGGTAAATATATTTCATCTCTAAAGGCAACAATTCCCCAACTGTAGAATATAATTAATGCCATAAACATATGCCAAATTACTTGAAGGAGATTTAAGAAATGTTTACAAAACCTTTTAGATTTCTTAGACATTAGCCCCCCCAAATGCAAAAGAATATTATTACTTGACAGAATGTGTTATTTCTGAGTCATCAAGATAAATTGTTACTTTCAAAACTTAACTATAAGAACAGGAAGCAGTTTAAGTCACTTCATGCAGCTTTACCGTTTTTAAAATATTCATCATTTTCCAAATACAAATTGATGATGTAGATTTTTTTTATTTTCATTTTTCAAGTTTCAGAAAGTTAATACAAAGCATTATATAAATGTACTTGAACTTTGAATGCAAAAACCCTTGTTAAAGTAAAATATATTTTAGAGAAACTAAACTATATAATTATCTGACAGTGGTTTCGGAAGATAAAATAGAAAACATTGATGAGTCCATGGAATTTATAATGACAATAGTATTTCATGCACACTTAAAGGAAGAATACTTTTTTTTACTCATAATTCTCTCTGATAATTGCAAGACAATAATTGCATTGTAAATGACATCATTATATTTATTATATTATTTTTATATTAGTGGCTGGTATATAGCAACACAATTTTTTATATTGATTATATATAACTTGTTGAATTCACTTACCAATTCTAATACCTTGTGTTTCTTGATACTGATAATTATGTAGGCATATTTACATTATAAAAATGCATTGAGTTATACATTTATGATATGTTCTCTTTTCTGTATGTATATTTCAATATAATTTTACTAAAGGGTGAAAAAAGAAGGGGTCTGGTGAAATGGCAAACATCGTAAGTGATAATAGGAAATATTTGCAAAGAATTTGTCAATCATCTCTCTATTGCAAATGAACTAGAGCTATGGAATCCTTCAGCAGAGGAAAAGGGCACTTGATCAGTCTTCCCAAGGAAAACTTAAGATACGAAAAATAAAGATCAGAAGGATTTCCTGGCTAACAAAAGGAACTGATGGAATAAAATTTTTACTAACTTTTTAGAGTGATAAAACTTTTAGATCTGATGAATACCATGGCCTTTCTTGCCAGGAAAAAAAAAGAACATATGAATGTACAAGGAAAATTTTAGGATCTCAAAAATATATTGTTCATATGGGCTCCTATGATTCATGAATCCTTGTGGTAGAATCTGTGCTCTAGAGCAGTGATATGCAATAGAACTTCCTGCTATCACGGCGATGTTCTACATCTGCACTCTCCAATAGAGTAGCCACTGGCCAAATGTGACCATCAAGCATGTGCAATCTGGCTAGTGTAAAAGAGGAACTGAATTTTAAAATGCATTTAATTTTAGTAAATTTAAATAGCCACGTGTGGCTACCAAAATACAAAAAAACCCATTGCTGCTGAGTTGATTCCAACTCATAGGGACCCTATAGGACAGAGTACAACTGCCGACCTTTTGGTTACCAGCCTAACTCTTAACCAGGGTTACCTTATTGGGCAATATAGCTCTAAAGTCTCTGACATAGCTGTTTTTCAAAGTTGGTTGTTGTTCTTTTTTTCCAATGGCTGTCAAGTCAATTCTGATTTATGGCAACCCCGTGTATGTCAGAGTAGAATTGTGCTCCATAAGGTTTCAATGGCTGATTTTTCAGAAGTAGATCATCAGGCCTTTCTTCCAAGTTACCTCTGGGTAGACTCAAACCTCCAACCTTTTGGTTAGCAGCTGAGCACATTAACCTTTTGCACCACCCAGGGACTTCTTTCAAAGTTTACTGTGGTTTAAAATCACCCAAGGTGGCTTTATTAAAAATACAAATGCCGACCACCAATCCCTAACAGTCCAATTCATAGCCTTGGAATTTATATTTTTAACAAGCACTTCAAGTGATTCTGATTCAAATGATGGATTGTGGAATACATTTTGAAATATGACAGTTTACACTAAATTATCACAAATGCATATTCTTACTGCAGTTTCCTGTCTTGCCCTTTTCTCCCTGACTGTAACTCCCCATGTTCTTTATTATTGGTATCTCCTTTTAGTAGTTCTTTAGTAGGAGTTCTGGCAATTCGTCAACTTTCTCAACCATGTATTATGCTTGACAACAGCTAAATGTTGTAATTATATCTATAATAAAAATAAAAAGGCCTTGCAATGTCCTGAGAGGCCTTCCTTAAGTACTTGCCTACTTTCATTTAATTACCTCTGAGAAATTAATTTTGACTTCCTAAATGTCATTTTTGCTTTCCTGATACTTTTTAAGATTACTAGACAATTTTCTTCTGAATTAGAAGGCACTGATTGCTGTACACTGTTTATCAAACAGATATTTGTTATTGTTAAATATTAAAGTTGATCATTAGATGGTTCTTTGAATTACTGAATCCACTCAATGAAATCACAAAACATAAATTTTTGAAAATATTTATCACACAAATAGTATTTATACAATAAAATATTTGAATGTTAAAGCTGAGAAAGACTTTGGAAATTATGTAGTCCAGTATCTATTTTATAGACAAATAAAATGAATCCAGGAAGATCCAGAGAATTTTTCAAAGTAACACAAGCATATCTAGACTTTCCCAATAATTTTATTCCTTATTTCTTTTATTTAAACAAATACTGATGCTTGTTTTGTGCCAAGCGCAGTTCTGGGCACTGAGAATACATGCTCGAATAAAACAAACAATTTTTATTTACATTTGAGTGGGATAAGAGTATCTTGATGCTCTTCGATGGTGTACAAAAATTTCACCATTTAGTAGCCAATCTTTTACTGTGGAAATGGAAAAGGTCACAAAGTCACACAATTTGGTTGTGCACATATAAAGGCAAAATTATTTCCCACATTGAAATGCTGCTAGTTATTACCCTTTATTAGGGAATGGTATAGTACTATTGTGCATTTAATTCAGTGGCTCAAATATTTACATAAATTTTGTAATACTTTAGCTTCTAAAATATTTTCTATAAAATCATATAAGCATTTTCTGTTGTTCAAAATTTGTATTTGTTCATAGTTTATTAGTATTCTACCTTTCTATAAACAAGCATATTTTTTTAAAAACAATTTTACTTCTCTACGTTTCTCAATTGATGTCACTTACATATCCCTACCAATAGGTAGGCCATTTTTGTCTTGTTATAGATCCAACAACTTCCTGCACGTCCACAAGTCCCAGTATCACGAAAGGTGCAAGAACTTTCTCCTACCATTTTAAAAATTACTGGTCCAGGAATCGTCCCTGTGAGAAATGCAACGATTGTTAATTCTCCATGAAAACACTATAGTTTATAATCAGAATAATTTTTCTTTTAAAATTGAACTTACGTGTGTGTGTGTATGTTGCTGTTGTTGCTAGTTGCTGTCAAATCATTTACGACTTATGGTGACCCCAAGTGTGCAGAGTAGAGCTGCTCCATAGTATTTTCAAGGCTGTGACCTTGGAAGTAAATCACCAGGACTATCTTCTGAGGCACCAGTCCAAAAAAAACCCAAACCCATTGCCATCGAGTCCATTCTGACTCACAGCGATCCTATAGGACAGAGTAGAACTGCCCTATAGAGTTTCCAAGGAGTGAGTGGTGGATTCAAACTGCCGACATTTTGGTTAGCAGCTGAGCTTTTAACCACAGTGCCACAAGGACTGGGTGGGTTTAAACCACCAATCTTTCAGCTAGTAGCTAGTAGTAGACTGCTTAACTATTTGCACCACCAGGGACTCTGTGTGTGTGTGTGTGTGTGTGTGTGTATATATATACACATGGAGATGTATATATACAGATGATATATGAGATATATATATAATCACACTAAATATAGCATTTAAAATTATCTAAGAATTTCCTTAGAGATATAATTATTAGCCATTGGAAGCAATGATTATGAGTTTTTAAAAAATTCTTATCCCTGTAGGTAAAAAAGATTAGTATAATTGCATCATTTTGAATGGTCTACATGTTGTTCTTTAAATGACATCTCAAAACTTATTAATTTTTAAATAAAAAATGTAGGAGAAAGTATTTAAAACAGAGTTACTAAATACTGATTTTGCAAATTCAATTGTATCGCCAAATATCTCACATTGTGAAATTTTCAATGGACTGAACAAAGGGTTCGTTAATGCAATGCACATCTGCCATTTATCAACATAATGAGAAAAATAAATGAAAATGAAAATGTTTTGGTATGTTTGTAGCAGCCCCAGATTCAGATGACTTCATATGCTGCCTGTTGGAAATTTCTACATACTCTCAGAAAGACTGTCTCCTCAGCAGCAATATCACTATCAGCTAAAAGTGAATGAACAGTTAAAAAAAAAAAAAGTAACTCCAAAGACATCAGAACCTATTTCTCAGAACTAAAATGTTGAATAATTGATCATATTCCTTAAGAAATTATCAAGACCCTTCATGCCACATGAGTCTTGATTCCTGCCAACTACCTCAGTAAGTGATGCCACTCTATATAGTTACTAAAGCTGAAAAAGCTAAGCCTACTAGTCAGCCTACTATTTCCCACATTCTTTTTTCCAAATGTTGATTTATCTCTATCTCCACTACTACCACCAGAATCCAATTTAATGTAACCCTGACCTAGACTTTAGCAATAGCCTCCGTTTTTATTTCCTCCATATTTATCTCCTATAAGCCTTCTTCCCTCCAGCAGCGGAGTTATCTTTTAAAAATATATTAGATAACATCTATCCTCTGCTTAAAACTCTCTGGTGGCAAAACTCTGCAAGATCTGGAGACTATCTATATTTCAAGTATCTCATTCCACCCTCCCTCCCATTCAAGAATGCATCTGCCTCATTGGCTACCTTTATGATTCAAGAAATTGTCTGTACACTTTCTGTTCCCTATGCTCTTTCATCCATTACAAATCTCTACTTATCTACTGGATCAATGTCCAACATGAAAGTTATGTGCTAGTTTTTCCCATTAAAAAAAAAAAACTCATCATACCATACATATTGATCTAGCTATAGAAAAATTCTTCTGATCACCATCAGAGCCATTCTTAGATTTGTCTATGCTCTTGACTCCATTTATCACATGTCATTCGGTCTTCATTCCAGCCCAATCTTGTTTCCTTACCCCACCCATATTTATAATCAACTTATTGAATCAGGGATCCCAAAATAGTCATAATTTGAATTTCTTCTTCTTCTTTTTCTTTTTTTTTGAAGCAAAAAGAAAGTTTTATTTGGCATATATTCAAAAAGGCAGAAGAGGGAAATGGACAACCATGCTACCAGAGCCATGTCTGCCCAAGTCTAAGGAAAGTTACAGAATAGGCAAGAATGGGAAAACGGACAAGCATGCGGCCACAGCCATGTCTGCCCAAGTGCAAAGAACTGTCCACATAATGTGAATTTGAGAGCTAGTTTTTGGTATTTAAGAAAGTCTGAAGTAAAGAGTACATTAACCCCAGCAAATATGGTTTGTTCTTTGGCTACAAATCCTTAAAAACATCAGATTCCGTGTTGTTGTTGATGAAAATGTTTAGTGACTTCCCAAACATACAAGCAATGTAAAGTATAGTTGCCGTGTTCATACAAGTACTTTGTATAACCCAAACAAACAACTTTCATGAGCAGGCTTAATATACTGATTAAATGGATTGTCTTTTCTAATCAAATATATCGCTACTGGATAATTTGTATGACAGCATGGGCTTTACATTAGATATTGTCTCTTTACATTAACCACTGTATCATAAATTGTTCAAAGCAGTTCTCCCATTCACTTGTTTTATGTCATTTTACCATTAATATTTATTTGTATTTCTAAATAATATGTGTAGACACACACACATAAAAAGAAACAATTTGATGTAATAAAAGATTGCCAAAAATCCATACCAAATATTCTCAAAATCACAAAAGCCACTCCCAAGGCCAGAGAATGTTGTTCTTCAGATACAATTCTGCAAGCAAATAGTAATGATATCATCAGCACATCATACGTATTATCTGCAGAAAATGTATGCTAAGTTCAAAAGTAATCTTTTTTTTTTCTTGTGCATCAATTAGATGAAGAATCTTTGTTGAATTAATAGAGTTCAACCTTACTAATTGAAGGATTGTTGCTCTTCCCATTTCTCCATATTCTGCCCTTGCCAAATAACCCCCAAATTCCCTGCTATTTACAAGGAAAAGGGATTTGTGGCCAAAGTCCTCTGCCCCAGTCTCCTTTTCCTTTGTTGGAGAAACTTAACACCAGCTGTTACGCTTACCTTTCTTCATTCCCACACGCACACACATTGTTTAGTTTTCTTCCTTTTGCCCCTGTGAAATCCACTTTCTAGCCTTTCTCTACCTTGCGCTTTGCCCTGGAAAGCTAACCTAAATGGACTACATCAATAGTCTTCTGATCGAGTTTTGCCAATGGGGCACTCCAGATAGAGGGAAGAAAGCAGGGGGCGAGGGGCTGTCAAGGTCTTCATTCCCAGACACCGTTCTTGCAGAGTCACTTCAGACCTCAGGCCTCACGCAAAGCAGTCAAAGCAATCTTCTCTACAGGCCTCTCTTCCACTCCCTCTCTTATGCCCCTTTGGGTCTAGGCTGATAAAGGACCAGAGATATTGCATTATACCTTGGGATTCCTTACACCCAGGCCACATTTTAAATAGACGCTTTCTTCAATCTTACTCAGATTGTTCTCGTTTGTGGGTGTTATCACTTTCCAGTTGGACCCCTGTTACACTCACTATTCAAAAGCTAAATAAATGATAAACAACTTTCCCAAAGATAAAGTATAAGGATATCTGCATTATCTAGAAATCAAATGAAGTTTGCTTGTTCTTTTTTTTTAAGAAAAATATTATAATACATAACATTACAATATAGTAGCTCTGAAAATAAATTTAAAATATAATTAAAATAATCAGCCTTTAAACATTTTAGGAAGTAAAACAATGAGCTGCACCTTCAATGGGCAATTTAAATAAACTCTATGCTTAACTTTCATCCTTATTCTATAACTTGAACAATAAACTTTAGTGTGATAAATATCTTCATTCAAAATGACTTAATTTACAAAAATATAGCATATGTACAATATTTTGTGACTATTTTGCAAAAATTGAGCTAATTCTACCCATATCAACCTGGTCAAAATATACATTCTTTTCTTCAAATGTACATTACTAGGAAAAGGAAAACAAATTAACCAATTCTCAAATAATAATAATATACAAATAAAAAATAATTTATACTTTTTAATAAGCAGATTCACTAAAGAGAGGTAAATGAAAAAAGTGTCACATATTAAAACCAAACTTTAGTATAAAAATTTTTGGTATAAAGTGGAAATTTTGGTTATATGCATAATTCTAATTGAATGTTCTGCTTTATTTAGCATAAGTAGGTTTTTTTATATGTAATATGATATTAGTGCTCTATGAAGCACATATAGAGCTGACCATTACTCACGAATATAATCATTAAGAAGTATTTGTCTTCAGTTTAATTACAACCCTGTTTGTAACAAGTATACAAAACAAAATGAAAAGATTAATGATTTCCAGGATCTCCCAAATTCAGTTAAATGAACAGCACACAGACATATGCCAAAAGATAAGATGCATAAACCAAAAAAAAATTCTTAATGAAAAATAAACAATAATGAACTAAACACTTTTGTTTTCTTTTTTCATCTAATGAGTAAGGCTATGATAGAGTAGATATACACGTTTCATGTAATAAACAGAAAGTTTGTTAATACTCTTCCAAAAAGTAACAGATAGCTTCTACCATCACTTATAAAACCAAACCTAACTGTTGAGTCAATTCCTACTCATAGCAACCTCAGGTGACAAAGCAGAACTGCCCCACAGATTTCCAAGGCTGTAATCTTTATGGAAGCAGACTGCCACATATTTCTCTGGCGGAGTGGCTGGTTGATTCCAACCATCAACCTTTTGGTTAGCAGCCAAGTACTTAACCACTGAGCAACCAGGCCTCCTTTCTATCACTTATATGACCTCTAAAGTTATATTTTCAGTCTATACCTTTCTTACAGGACATAAATTCTAAACAGAAGTACCTGTGTTGCAGGCATCTTAAACTCCACACGTCCAGAAGTTAAATCTTCATTAACTTCATCTCTGTCCTTCATCTCTGTTGCACAAAATTTGTTCTTTCTCCAGTATACATAATGCAACTCAAGAAATGAAAACCTCATCCATGAAGTTTTCAAGCCTGAAACCTGACCAGGAAAGAGGCATCCTTGATAGGATCCTTTTCCTCATCTGCCACAATCAATTAATAATCAAATACTGAGATTTAAAAAACATTTTTCATTTCTCTTTGTTTTTCCACATTTCTAATTCTGCAAGCCTATTCCAAGTCAGTGACCTTTGCCTATTCCAAGCCAATAACTAAAAAATGCAATGACTTTGAAAATGTCTCCCAAAAACCATCCATGTTCCCCTACTCCATTCTCCAAGAGTCAATTTTTTTTAAAGGTGAAAATTTAATCATTTTATTGACTACTAGAGCTCTTAAATGGCTTCTTATTGTTCTTAGCGTAAAATCTGTTGTTAGGTGCTGTAGAGTTGGTTCTGACTCGTAGCTACTCTATGTACAATAGAACGAAACACTGCCTGGTCCTGCGCCATCCTAACAATCATTGCAATGTTTGAGCCTATTGTTGCAGCCACTGTGCCAATCCATCTCCTTGAGGGTTCTCCTCATTTTTGCTGATCCTCTACTTTACCAAGCACGACCCTCTACTTTACCAAGTTTCTTCTCCAGGAACTGGTCCCTACTGATTATATGTCCAAAGTGCATGCGATGAAGTCTCGCTATCCGCACTTCCAAGGAAGCTGCACTTCTTCTATGAAGTACTTTAGCTGTACTTCTTCCAAGACAGATTTGTTCATTCTTCTGGCAGTCCATGGTATATTCAATGATTTTCGCCAGCACCACAATTCAAAGGCATCAATTCTTCTTCGGTCTTCCTAATTCACTGTTCAGGTTTCACATGTATATAAGGCAATTGAAAATATCATGGTTTGGGTTGCTTTTAGACACTTTAAGAGGTCTTTTGCAGCAGATTTCCCAATGCAATGTGTTGTTTGATTTCTTGACTGCTTCTTCCATGGGCGTTGATTATGGAGCCAGGTAGAATGAAATCCTTGACAACTTCAATATTTTCACCATTTATCATGATGTTGCTTATTGGTACTGTTGTGAGGATTTTTGTTTTCCTTATGTTGCAGTGTAATCCATACTGATGGCTGTAGTCTTTGATCTTCATTAGTAAGTGCTTCCAGACCTCTTCACTTCCAGCAAGTACAGTTGTGTCATCAGCATGTCGCAGTTTGTTAATGAGTCTTCCACCAATTCTAATGCCACATTCTTTTTCACATAGTCCAGCTTCTCAGATTATTTGCTCAGCATACAGATTGAATAAGTATGATGAAAGGATACAACCCTGACAAACACCTTTCCTAACTTTAAACCACGCAGTGTCCCCTTGTTCTGTTCGAATGACTGCCTCTTGGTCTATGTACAGGTTCCTCATGAGCACAATTAAGTGTTCTGGAATTCCCATTCTTTGCAATGCTATCCATAATTTATTATGATCCACACAGTTGAATGCCTTTGCATAGTCAATAAAACACAGGTAAATATCTTTCTGGTATTCTCTTCTTTCAGCCAAGATTCATCTGACATCAACAATAATATCCCTTGTTCCTCATCCTCTTCTGAATCCGGCTTGAATTTCTGGCAGTCTGAAATTGATCAAACATATAATCAAAATGCACTGATAGTTACTGATGATTGGAATAAGAAAGTTGGAAACAAAGAAGAAGGATCTCTAGTTGGAAAATATGGCCTTGGTGATAGAAACGACGCTGGAGATCACATGATAGAATTTTGCAAGACCAATGACTTCTTCTTTGCAAATACCTTTTTTCAACAAGATAAATAGTGACTATACACATAGACCTCACTGGATGGAAAACACAGGAATCAAATCGGCTACGTCTGTGGAAAGAGACCATGTAAAAGCTTAATATCATCAGTCAGAACAAGGCCAGGGGCCTAGTGCAAAATAGACTATCAATTGTTCATATGAATGTTTAAGTTGAAGCTGAAGAAAATTAAAACATGTCCACCAGAACCAAAATACGACCTTGAGTATATCCCACTTGAATTTGGAGACCAACTCAAAAATAGATTTGACATGTTGAACACTAATGACCAAAGACCAGATGAGCTGTGGAATGACATTAAAGACATCATACACGAAGAAAGCAAGAGGTCATTAAAAAGAGAGGAAAGAAAAAAAAGACCAAAATGGATGTCAGAAGAGACTCTGCAAGTTGCTCTTGAAGGTAGAGTTGCTAATGTGAAATCCAGAAGTGATGAAGTAAAAGAGCTGAACAAAAGATTTCAAAGAGCAGCTGGAGAAGACAAAGTAAAGTATTATAATGAAATGAGAAAACCTGGAGTTAGAAAACCAAAAAGGAAGAACACTGTTGGCATTTCTCAAGCTGAAAGAACTGAAGAAAAAATTTACGCCTTGAGTTGCAATATTGAAGGATTCTGTGGGGAAAATATTGAACAACACAGGAGGCATAAAAAGCAAATGGCAGGAATACACAGAGTCACGGTACTAAAAAGAATTAGTCGACGTTCAACCATTTCAGAAGTTAGCATATGGTCAAGGACTAATGGTGCTGAAGGAAGAAGTCCAAGCTGCACTGAAGGCACTGGTGAAAACAAGGCTCCAGGAACTGAGGGAATAGCAATTGAGATGTTTCAACAAACAGATGCAATGCTGAAAGCGCTCACTTGTCTATGCCAAGAAATTTGGAAGACAGCTACCTAACCAACCAACTGGAAGAGATTCATATATGTGCCCTTCCCCAAAAAGAAAGGTGATCCAACAGAATGGGGAAATTAATGAACAATA